TCCTTCTGTCCGTGCCTGCATCGTTCTACGTACTCTGGGGACTCGGGGCCAGGGGTTTGGTTTTATTTACCTTGCTTCTTTCTCTTTCCCCTTCCTGAGCCACCCAGACCTCCCCGGCCTTTGCACTTGCTATCTCCATTGCCTGGAATACCTGTCCTAGGCATTTGAATGACTGCCTCCCTCTCATCGTTTATAGCTGAGCTCCAATGCCAAAGCCCAGTCCCCCGTTGACTTCGCGCGCTAGAGGGGTCACAGCTCATGCCCGGTTGCTCTTTTCCCTTACTCTATCTTGTTCCCGTCCTGGTCTGACTCACTGTCTGAAACAATATTCTTTATCTATATTCATAAGCTTATTGACTACCTCCTCATCATCTTGATGAGTCTTCATGAGGCCGAAAAGCATCGTTCACCAAGGTATTTGAACTTCATAGAATGGTAATGGGCATAAGTAGAGCTCAATATTTGCTGAAGGTAAATGAAGGAATTTTTAAAAATGCAGTGCCGTTGGTTGCTATCAGACTGAGGGAGGACCCTGCACTGCATCAGAATGGTTTGCCTGTAGCTGGTTTGCTGTCCTTATTCTTTTGTGTGAGTGCCAGGCTTTTCTCATGATTCAAAACAAAGATACACTTAGGAAAACTCTCATAGGAAATAATGATGCTAATATAAATTAATATTTGGTAATGCTTGGGGCCAGTAGTGTGGTGCAGTGGGTTAGGTCACTGCCTGCAGAGCCAGGATCTCATATGGGTGCCAGTTTGAGCCCCGGCTCCTCCACTTCCAATCCAGTTCCTTGCTAATGTGCCTTTGGAAAGAGCAGAAAGATGGCCTCTTTGGGTCCCTGCCACCCATGTGGTAGACCTAGAAGAAGCTCCTGGCTCCTGGCTTTGCCCTGGCCCATTCTGGTCCATCCTGGGCTGTTGCGGCAATCTCCTTCTCTGTCTCTGTAACTCTGCCTTTCAAGTAAATAAACTAAATAAATTTCAAAAAAACAAACACTGCTTAAGTGATTCCATTTTCCCAGATGGATTGAGAAAGATGACAGAGTAATAGTAGGACATGCCACACTAGAGAAAAATACCATGAGGCAATCTGTGACGGCCTTCTATGTATTTCCAGTTCCTTCCCCTCCTGGAGCCTGGCCTGGTACAGGGTGTTGAGAGGGGTCACCCAAGGGCAGCAGCAGGGAGCTGCTCCCATCCCATCCCATTAAGACCACCGTGGGAAGGCAGAGGGGAGACCCACGAAGCGGGCAGTGTGGTGGAGACAAAGGAGGACCGGCAGACAGAGAGCGAATCTTGGAGGGATTTCCTGAGCCCAAGGGTAAGACTGTAGGCATGAATCTGCCAGCTCCTGCAGGCTGGGGCATTACTGGGACCAGTGGCAGGTGGGGCTGGGGACACTGCTCAGAGCAGGACTCCAGGGTGCAAACTGTAGCCACTTGATGTTGTTGACCTGTCAGCACCTACATGCTCTGCCCTCCTGGAAGAATTAATAGCATTAAAAAAGGGAGAGTTTGGCCCCCTTCTCTTCTTTGCCTTCTACCATCTGATGATTTTTGCCACTTGAGCATGGAAGGAGAAGGCCCTGGCCAGGTGCTGGACTTCCCAGCCTCCGGAACGGTGAGCTGATGGATTTCCGTTCGTTATAAATTACTCCATCTGTGATAGCTACTTATAGCAGCGCAAATGGACTAAGACGTGGAGCAGCCAATAAACAAGATTTTATTTGGAAAGCAGTATAACATGTGCACATCTGCATGGTTAATCCTGCACCAGGTGTTCGCTGTCATAGATACACAGGCTTGGGACTCTACTTTTTTTTTTTTTAAGACTTATTTATTTGAAAGGCAGAGTTAGAAAGAGAGGGGAGACAGAGAGGGATCTTCCTTCCTTTGGTTCACTCCCCGTATGGCTGCAACAGCCAGGGCTGGGCCAGACTGAAGCCAGGAACCTGGAGCTCCATCCAGTTCTCCCCACATAGGTGTCAGGGGCCTAAGTACTTAGGGCATCTTCCACTGTTTTTCCAGGCACATTAGCAGGGAGTCGAATAGGAAATGGAGCAGCTGGGGCTCTCGGGTGCTCATACGGGATGCTGCTTAACCTGCTGTGCCAAAATATAGGCCCCTTGGGACTCAATTTAAAGAGAAAATTTTGTATTTATAAATACATAGAAACTCAAAGAAGAACAGGTAGCATCTATTAAATCCATGCTGGGTGCCACTTGGGATCCAGAGTCAAAAAGAACAAACAATCTACGTAGGAAGATAACAAGAAAAATTAAGCAGTAATTAAACATATCAACTTAATTTATGTAATTTCATAAATTGCCAGGAATTTATGAGAGTTAAAGAAAGTTTATGGGAAGAAGAGATTAACTTAGATTGAGATGGTCAAGGAAGGTTTTCTGAAAGGTAGGACTTGACTTGGAATTTGAGGGATGGTAAAGCTGAGCAAGATGGGAATAGGAGCGATGAATACATCAGGTGAGCAGAAGGGGTGAACAACTGTGTGGAGAAGAGAGCGTGTAGTGTTTGGGAGGGGCAGCCGTTTGACCTACTGATTAAGGTGCTGCTGGGAACATCATAGCTCGTATTCAAGAGCCTGATTCGAGTCCTGTCTCTGCTGTCATTCCAGCTGCCTGCCAATGTGTGCCCTAGGAAGCAGCAGGTGATGGTTCAGGTACTGGGGTCCCTCCCTCCCTCTGTACGGGAGACTGTTGTAAATTCTGAGCTCCTAGTTTTGACCTATCCCAGCCCCAATTGTCACAGGCATTTGGGGAGTGGAACAGCAGATGGAAGCTCTCTATTGCTGTCTCTCTGCCTCTCAAAAAAATAAATGATTTTTTTTTAAATGTGCTTGGGAGCTTATGACCAGAAGTTCTGCCGGAGTGATTTATTTGTTTAAGGCAAATATGATAGAGGGAGAAATAGTGGGAATGATAAAGCTGAGGTTAGGTTAAGGAAAATCTTGAATGTTAGCCTAAGAAGTGGGCATTTAGCTTAACTGTTCAGATGTTCTTGTCCTAGATTGGAGTACATAGGTTTGATGTCAGGTTCTGGCTCCTTGCCTCAGTTTTCTACTAATGTAGACACTGGGAAGCAGTGGTGATGGTTCAAGAAACTGAGTTCCTGCCACCCATGTGGGACATTTGGATTGAGTTCTTGGCTTCCAGCTTTGGCCCTGTCCCAGACACAGCCACTGTGTGCAATTGGGGAGTGAACCAATGGGAGCTCTGTCTTGCTGCCTCTCAAATAAAAAAAAAAAAGTATTAGCCTGAGTAATACTTGATTCTTTAAATAATGGTAAACTATTGAATGTTTTGAATAGAAGAGTGCATTTTAACAAAGGTATTTCAATAGTCTGTGTGTGGGGGATAAGGGCCAGAATCAGGATAGTGGCAGAGGGAGTCTAATAGATAGTACAGAGAGTAGATCTAAAGAAATTGTAGACTGTCATGACTGATGCATATTGTAATTAGTGAATGGGCCGAGACCTTGAAGCTTGAAGTAAGCAGAATAAGAGAAACAATTTTAGAGATGGCTTAAATTTTAAGTAACCATAGAATAGACACATGGAAAAATCCAGTAGACAGCTGAGGAGTGGGGTCTTGCTTACTTACAGGTGGTTCTAACTGAAGCCATGGGAGGAAAGACCCTCTCTAAAGAAAAGCATGCAAAGACTGAATCTTGCATAACACTTACTATGTGAGCCCTGGATGAGACAGAGCAGAAGAACAGAGGTACACACGATATCAAAGAAGCAGAGGGAAGAGGGGGTGTCAGGGCTGAGCAGCACCCCCCACCCCGGATGAAAGGCCGCAGAGAAAGCATGCAGATGAGATCAGAGACAGGTTCCTTAACGCTGTGAGTGCCTTTTCCAGTGTGGACAGTACAGAGTGCAAGGGTGGAAACCAGATGACAAGAGAGAGGAACAATCACCCCTAACAAAGCTAGGGTGTTACAAAAGGAAAAATGGATGGAAATTGGAAACAAAGTGATGGAAAGGAGGATTTGGGACTGACCAGAGTATTAGGAAATTGTCAGAAGGGGAAGAAAAATAATTTCTAAACACCAAGGTCAGTACACACATAGAGCTAAGGAGAATTGACAGTGGGCATGATTCAGGGGCGTGGAACCAACGTAGCAGACTGGGGAATGAGTTGGGCAGCAGAATGCCAACTGCTGATGAAGGCAGCTCCAGAAGGCTGTCAGAGTTCACATGGGGTTAATAGAGCTACATTTGAAGAGTGAAGACACACAGCATTTCAACAGGAGGAGGATGATTAAGAATGGTCACCAAGGGGCGGGTGTTGGGAACAGTGGTTAAGACACAAGTTAAAACACCTGTTTTCCACATCAGCGAGCCCAGGTTTAATTCTCAGCTATGTCTCCTGGCTCTGTTTTCCTGCTAATACGGACCACGGGAGGCAGTGGTGATGGCTCAAGTAAGTGGGTTCTTGTCACCCATGTGGAAGACCTGAGTTGAGTTCTCAGCTCCTGGCTTCATCCTGCCCTAGCCCTGGCCATTGTCAGGGTTTGGATAGTGAACCAGCAGATGGGAATGCTCTCTCAGTCTCCTATTCCTCCCCCCAATTTTTTTCTAAGATGATGACAAAGAGCAGTTGAGAGAGTATTGTAGTCCTGAGTACTGTAATCCAAAAAGCACTTGTGTACCAACCAAAGAACAGTAAGTTACTGAACACCACATCGGCATTAGGCTTGAACATGCTGGGTACAGAGAGTAAGTAGAAGGCAGTGTTCCTGGCCTTGAGGAGTTTCAGTGGAGTTACAGAGAAGAGCTAAGCACCCCCGAACCCCACAAGAGCAGCCACTTTGTACAGCAGAGATAGGACTCTAGAGGCTGCGAGTAGCCGGCTGGAGCAGGGCTGGTGGACAAGTTGGCAGCAATGCAGAATGGGAGGCATCCTCATTCCTCCCCTCTTTCTTTTCTTTTCTTTTTTTTTCTTTCTTTTTTTTTTTTTTTTTTTGACAGGCAAAGTTAGGCAGTGAGAGAGAGAGAGATGGAAAGAAAGGTCTTCCCTCCGTTGGTTCAGCCCCCCAAATGGCTGCTACGGCCGGCACACTGCGCTGATCCGAAGCCAGGAGCCAGGTGCTTCTCCTGGTCTCCTAGGAGAAGGGTGCAGGGCCCAAGGCCCTGGGCATTGCTCCACTGCTGTCCTGGGCCACAGCAGAGAGCTGGACTGGAAGAGGAGCAACCAGGACAGAACTGGTGCCCCAACTGGGACTAGAACCCAGAGTGCCGGCGCTGCCCTCTTTCCATCTTGCCCAACCCTTACAGCCAAACTCCACAGCTGCACTCTCAAGAGATTGGAAATGGAGCTAAGGAAAAGGTAACTTTTGTCGCCTGTGTGAGAGAGAGAGCTGTATGTGAAAGCTGTATCATCTTCCTGCTCAGAGACTGTAGGAGAGCAACCATCTTCCTTCCACACATGGTGGGAGGCACTTTGCTCCCCGGAGTAAGTTGAATTAGGACAAGCAAACAAGACGTGAGAGAGGTAAGGAGAAGCGCACAGTCTTGAAGAGAAGGCGACCCTCCGGAGCCACCCTGTGGCTCACTGAGCAAGGTCACCCTTGGGGGCACTCCCCCAGCTGTGGGGAGTCTGGTTCTGGATTACTCCTGCACTCCTGTTCCCGATCCGGGGCTTGCGCCTGGTTGATGATGCTCACCCAGATCACTGAAGCCCACAGAGGAATTCCGGCCCTGCCCCTTACCAGGTGTGTGAATCGGGCAAGTCACTCAGGACAATGGAACCTCCTTTCCCTCCCAGTGCAGTAATAATCCTTGGGGGAGAGGTGGCTGGCAGGAAGCTGTTGCTTGCTGTTTTGCCATGTTCATTTACTCTTACCTTCCCCTTATCTTCATTTCTGGGCAATGAAAAATGCTTATTTTATCCTTCTGATTTCTTTCATGCAGCCACAAGTCTTGGAGGGCAAAGATGGATCTGGCTCAAGCATTCAACCGTTTGCCTCGCACTAGACTGGTGACTGTTACTAATTAATGCTATTCTCCGTCCCCCTGCTCCTTCACCTGCGGGGGAACACCTTATTCGATTTTCAGATTTTTCAGATCCCTCGTCATGTTTGTCTCTGTCATGCACACACACACACACACACACATGCACGCATGCACGTGCACCCCATTCAAAGCTCCTGAGTCAGAATCTTGGAGGAGTGAGCCCCTGGTTAAGAATGTGACATCTGGGGCGGGCAATGTGGTACAGTGAGCTAAGCCCAGCTACTGAAGTGTCAGTTCCAGCCCTGGCTACCCCTCTTCTGTTCCAGCTTCCTGCTAATGTGCCTGGGAAGCAGTACATGATAGCCCAGGTACTTGGGTTTCTGCCACCCATGTGGAGACCTGGATGGAATTTCTGGCTCCTGACTTTGGCCTGGTCCATGCCTGGCTGTTGCCAGAATTTGGGGAGTGAACCAGTGAATGGAAGATTCTCACTCTATTTCTCTGTCATTCTGCCTTTCAAATAAATAATAAATAAATCTTTAAAAATAAAAGAATGCTCCGGCGCCGTGGCTGAATAGGCTAATCCTCCACCTTGCGGCGCCGGCACACCGGGTTCTAGTCCCGGTTGGGGCGCCGGATTCTGTCCCGGTTGCCCCTCTTCCAGGCCAGCTCTCTGCTATGGCCAGGGAGTGCAGTGGAGGATGGCCCAAGTGCTTGGGCCCTGCACCCCATGGGAGACCAGGAGAAGCACCTGGCTCCTGCCTTCGGATCAGCGCGGTGCGCCGGCCGCAGTGCGCCAGCCGTGGCGGCCATTGGAGGGTGAACCAACGGCAAAGGAAGACCTTTCTCTCTGTCTCTCTCTCTCTATCCACTCTGCCTGTCAAAATAAATAAATAAATAAATAAATAAATAAAATAAAAGAATGCTGTGCCTATTGAGACTTGGCATCCTCTGGAATGTCTAGCAATATTGTTTGGGAAATAGACAGGTGTGGGCATTTGGTGCAGCAGTGAAGGATGCCACCTGAGACACCTGCAGCCCTCATTGGCGTGCCCGGGTTTGAGTCCTGGCTCTTTTCCCCAATTCCATTTTCCTGCCAAAGCACAACCTGGAGGGAAGCAGGTGATGGCTCAAGGACTTGAGTCCCTACCGCTCATGTGGGAGACCCAGATGGAGCTTGTGGCTCCTGCTTCAGCCTGGCCCATCACTGGCCACTGGAGACATTTGGTGTGTGAACAGCAGATGGGAGCTGTCAGTCTCCCTGTGTTACAAATAATAAATGAAATAAATAAATATTTTTTAAAAGATAAGCAAAGTATCTTCTATCAAGCTGGGTAAGTTCAGAGATGGTGTCTGCTTTAATCACAGACTTAGGAATTGAAAGGGATTTGTCCAATTGGGAACCTAACATTTCAGAGACGTCCACTACCCAAAAAAGCCTTTTTGTGTTTGTTCTTTTCTAAACACTCTGAATTAAAGCTTGGGCTGCTCATTGAGTTTTACTCTTTTTCGTTACAGATCTCCATCACTCCATCATGGCTGTCTGCCTCACCTGTCCCCATGGGACTCATGCCTTCCTGCCCCTTCCACCTCTCCAGAGAAGAGAGGGGTATGTGTAACAGGGCAAGGGGGGTTAGAAGCTGGGTAGGGGCTGTGGAGGGAGACAGCAGAGCTGAGGTGGGGAGTGGCCTGGTGCAGTGAATGTCCTGGCAGTGTAGACCTAGCACGTAGAGGGGAATACCTGAAATTCTCTCCGAGCAAACAGCGTTGCAAGCATTTCTAGGGTTTTGCTCACTGTCCTACAATTTACAGGTGGTGTGTGTGTATGCGCGTGTGTGTGTATGTGCATGTGTGTGTGTATGTGTGTGTGTGTGAGTGTGTTGGGGAGGTGGGGTGGCCCTATACTTAGAGTTGAAAATTAAAAAGCTCCCTCTATTGACTCCTGAAAGAGAGAGATAAAGAGAACCACATGGGACTCATTGTGAGCAATGAGAGCTCAGAAGCTGGCCTCCTTTTTCCCATTATTGTGCTATTCTCCATCCCCCTGCCCCGCCCACCTCAAAATGCTCCCCCAGCCCCCACCCAAGCCCCACCTCCCCCTTCCCTGGAAGAGCCCAAAGACCTTCTCTTTTCAAGCTCTCACTGCAGAGGCCCCCTCAACGGAGCCCAAGACCTCCATTCAGAGTCACTGGTTTGGGTAAAATCCCTTATTCACCCACCACCACCCCTGCCCCATCAGCTGAGCCCCAGTTCAGACCTCACAAAACAAAACAAAACCAGCCCATATAATTGATGGTGGACTCCCCTCCCTCTCCCCACCCCACCCCACCCCGGGGGCTCCTGCCTGGGCAGCTTCTATGCTGTAGGATTCCCTCCCGCCCTGCCCCCAGCTCCTGCTGGATTTTTGTAGTTAACAAGTGCACCCTGTTATTATTGTGCCCCCTATCATATTTATCCCCTTTCAGAGCTGATCTGTGCCTTTGTTGGAGGCAACCAGCGCATCTTTTGACATTTTAGCCTTTCTGTCAGCTGGGGACTGATGGCAGCGGTGGCTGTGGGGGGCAACCCAGCTTCTAAGATGGGCCACAGCAAGGCAGAAATGAGGAAGAAGAGAACAAAACCTCCAACAAGGGAGACTGCAAAGGAAAAGGAAAACATTGTAACTTGTTAGTGACCCAATGGGATGGAGGCGAGGGAGGCGGGCACTCATGGGGGTGATGCCAGCCGGTAGCTGAAATAATTTTATTTCTAGCAGGGCTCCAAGGTGTAGCTACTGCAGGATTGTATTTCACAAGTTTGCTGAATCTTAGGGAAATGAGAGAGAGAATGAAGAGAGGAAAACACAGATTAAGAGACAAATAACCACAAAGAGAGAAGAGAGGGATAAATTGTTTTTTGAAGTTCTTAATGAAATGTCTAATTGAAAGGGGTCAGTCACTTCGGCAAAGGTCTCTTGTGCCTTTTTAAAATATAAAGCCTGGGAAGTGCCACCAGGATCCTCCAATTTCAGGGGTTAGTAAGCCTTCCAGATCCTTTCATATTTATTTCCATGCAAAGTTTTGTGGTCTTGGGGTGTAGCAGTGTCTAGAAGTGTTGTTCCAACTAATGACTACAGAGTGCTGAAATATCCATGGAGATGAACTTCCAGCAAACAGCTAATTCATTGTCACTTGACCGCCCAGAGAGTGGCGTTTTTATCCCCACGTACGGATGAGGAGAGGAAGCTGAGCAGCACGGAGATTTGCCCGAGGTCCGAGGCAGAGGCAGAGCGGCTGCACATCTGCCTGCTGGGCCCACAGCCAGCGCCTTGCAAAACCACAGCCTTCATCTTGCGTGATCAGATTTCTAGGAAAGAATGTATTTATACTGATGAGAAATCTGAATGACAAAGTTCCAACACACTCCTTTTGGAGGCGAGTGTGTCCAGAGGACACCGAGGGGAGAGATGAGCTTGTGGGATTGCTCATCTGCTGACTTGGTTTTCTTGCCTTATAAGACAAAAAGAAGACTCTCATAAAAGCCTACATAGGGGGAGACATTTGGATCGGGTCCTCTCGTGCTAACTAGCACGTTATATTCATAAAAACCTTGTCCCTTCAGATGACTCAAAGCATTTGCCGATGCTAATTCAGCCTTGGGACAGTGGTGGGTGGAGCTTATTACTATTCTCATATTTCAGTTGAGGAAACAGGATTGGGGACATTGAATCTCTAGAACAAATTTACTCAGCACGGTAGAATGACGTCCCAAATTCATCATTCCTAGGCTGAAATCCTCCTGCTTTCCTGTAAGATCAGCATCGCCCAGTATGTTCTCCAGCCACGTTCCCAAAAGCTTCTTTCTTCTATGTCCAACCTTTTGCCTTGTCTCCTTCTTGTGCAAGCTTTCAAAGGGGCTCATTCCTCCTTTTATAAGGTGTCATATGGTATGAAATTTAAGCTTCTGGCTGAGCAGAATAAACTCTTAACCTGTACTTTATTATGCCACCATGCAATTTCTACTCATACCAGGTTTGATGCACTTGTTTTTGGGAGTAAAAAGCAGGATATGTGTCTCAGTTCTGCTTTCTCAGGATCACAGAACCAGAATTAGGAAAAAAATATCTATCACTGCGTGACATTTGTATAAGTGCTTCATAGTCTATAAAAAGGTTTAATATAGCCTTTCTTTTTTAAAAAAATTATTTATTTATTTGAAAGTCAGAGTTACACAGAGAGAGAAGGAGAGGCAGAGAGAGAGAGACATTATCCATCTGCTGGTTCACTCCCCAGTTGGCCACAATGGCTGGAGCTGTGCCAATTCAAAGCCAGGAGCCAGGAGCTTCCTCTAGGTTCCCCATGTAGGTGCAGGGGTCCAAGGGCTTGGGCTTGAGCCATCTTGTACTGCTTTCCCAGGCCACAGCAGAGAGCTGGATGGCAAGTGGAGCAGCTGAGACTCGAATTGGCGCCTATATGGGTTGCCAGCACTGCAGGGGGAGGCTTGCCTGCTGCGCCACAGCACCCGTCCCCAAATAGCCTTTCAGTTGAAATTTACTACAGTCCTAAGAATTACACAAATAAAGAAACTGACCAGGGCTGAAAGATGTTACATGTCCAAAGAAACACATGAGGAAGATGTAGGGGGCAGAACAGAAAGAGTGCTGTCTTCTGACCCCAGTCCAGAATGTTCTGTGCCAGTGCTGAAGAGGAGGGCTGGCGAAGAAACATCCTGTTTTACCCCAGGAGTTAACACCGGCAGCAGAGTGTGAAGATGATTCACCCTCCAGGAAAATGTGTAGGTTTGCCAGAGTGGGGTTGTTCCTCAATCCTTACTAAGAGACCTAGAATCACAACTTAAAAATCAGAAAGGAGAAACAGACGTAAGATACCATGGTATAAGTTGGATGCAGGGTCTGCATGCTCTACCATTTGGGAGAACATAATTTTTTCAGGTGTTTTGAGGTTAGAGATACCACCCATTTTAGGGAAGAATATGTTATAGAGATGTTGAGTAAAGTGTTTTAATTTGTTAACCCAGGGTGGATGATAGTGCTGTCAAATCACTGTAGTTTTGCTATTTTTTTAAATCTGGTTCTATCATTTGCTGAGAAAAGAGTGTGAAAATCACCAGTGGTGGCTTTCTATTTCTTTAATTCTGTACATTTTAAGAACAGATCCATGTATTTATTTGAAAGTCAGGGTTACTGAGGGAAAGACAGAGAACGAGAGAAATCTTCTATCTGCCGGTTTAGTCCCCAGATGGCTGCAACTGGTGGGGCTGGGGCAACCCAAAGCCAGGAGCCAGAAGCTTCATCCAGGTCTCCCACATGGGTGCAGAGGTCCAAACACTTGGGCCATCTTCTGCTGCTTTCCCCAGGCCATTAGCAGAGAGCTGGATTGGAAGTGGAGCAGCTGGGACTCGAACCAGCATCCATATGGGATGCCAGTGCTGAAGGCAGTGGCTTTATCTGCTACACCACAACACTGGCCCCAATTCTGTATATTTTGGCTTCATGTATTTTGAAATGGTAATTAGATGCAAGCGTACTCATTATTTTATGTCTTCTTGATAAACAGTCTCCTTGATCATTTTGGTAATTTCACAGTTCTCACTGTGAAATATTACTTTCTGTCATTGGTGATGCACTTTGAAAGGTATTTTATCTGAGTCAATAGAGCTGGTCTGGCCCCTCTTAAACTCACTGCGTGCCTGGTTTATCTTTCCTACTCAGTCACCTTCAACCTTTGTTACCCACTCTGAGTCAACTAAAGTCTTGTTTAGAGAACGGACTTTTGTGACTTGCACTAGTTTGAGTAAGATCTTGAGAGTCAACGCTGGATGACTCACTAAGCGGAATTCTCTGAATCTAAAAACTTGAAATCAGGTGCGGATGGCCCAGCTAACAGAAGTGATCAGCCAGCTCCTTGGCCCATGTCTAAATCTCCTCATTCGAGCGCTCCATTTTTCTCCTCTCTTCTCATTCAGACTTTGTCTCAGTCTTCTCCTATTCCCAATTGCCATTTTTTCTCTTCCTCTCCAGAAACTGGACACTCATGCATGATCCTGTCACCTTCGCCTATGGTCATTAAGGTTTTCTTCAGCCAGACACCACTGCCTCTCAGCTCTCCAGCCAAAAGGCACAAGCAGAAAATCTCATTGAGTTCTTTCTTTTCTTGGGACTTTCTACTCAATACTCCTTTTGTTTCCTTTTTAACCCCTTGGTTTGGTAACCTTTCTTGTATGCCTCTTGAAACATTTCACTTTTTTCATGTTCCTTTTCCCTTTTTCAAATTCTTCCCTAAAACTCTCTTCTTTCTTTGGGTCTCTTGGTTTTTTCCTCCTTTGCAGTCACATCAACTCAACTAGATGTCTCACTGTTTAGTCAGTGTTTTGTTTATGTCTAAATCAGACAGTCAACGCCTTGAGGCTAGGGTTTCATTCTCAGAGTTCCATGCTTTGCAAAATGCCATCTGCACTTACCACATTCTATAAATAATAAATAATCAGAGCAAAGAATCAGTAAACTGGGGCCAGATCACTGATTAGCAAAAGTACTCAACACATTGAAAGAGTTGCTGCTGCTGCTGCTGCTGCTGCTGCTGCTGACACAAAAACTTTTTCTCCAGGAAA